CATCACACTTCAACCTAACTTCGCTCCTTTCGACCCAAAACTCGTTTCCTCGCCTCGATTCCAACGCCGGGTCCTGAAATACGACATAAACACACAACCTCGCATGAAATCGGCTTAACACACGAGAGTCAACCTCTCAAACGGCTCAAGAATAGGGGTAAAAACATGTGTAATTATTGGTCTATCAATAGTATACTGAAATTTCTCAAAATAGGCGCGAGGAGCCTGTTTGAGGCCATATAACGATCGATGAAGAAGACACACCTGACCAGGCTGCCCAACATTGTACCCAGGAGGTTTCTCCAAATACACAACCTCCTTTAAGTCACCGTATAAAAATGAATTCTTGACGTCGAGCAGATATAATGGCCATTGTCGAATGGAAGCAACTGCCAGTAAAGTGCGCATCGTGACCATCTTAGCAACCTGAGCGAACTTTTCATCAAAGTCCACACCATGCTCTTGAGAGAACCCTTGCGCCACGATCCGAGCTTTATGGCGTTCAATCGAACCTTCCGGGTCATCTTGATATTGTACAACCATCGAGAACCAATCACTGGGACTTCGGGAGGAGGACGATCCACAACCGTCCATGTTTTGTTGGCATGAACAACATCAATCTCGGTCTGCATAGCATCGTCCCATTAAGGGTCAACGCCAAACGAGACATAGTCATCGAAATGAGGTGGGGGCTGACCTCGTGTGGACCAAAGAGACCGGGGAAGAGGCAAGGGAGCAGCCTGAGGAAGTTTCAGAGACAGAGAGTTGGCAGGACTTGAAGGAGTCTCTGAAGTCGACGCTGATGAGGAGTTGTGCACAGTTGGCGTTGGGGACGGGGAAGGTGACGTAGCCGACGAGCTCGCTAAAAAATCCGCTGGGGAAGGAGCTGGTGTGGGAGGCAAACTCAATGGAGGGGAAGGAGGGTCATTAGGGGGCAGCAGCAAATCCTCAATATCATCATCATCATCATCATTAAACATGGGTAAAGTGGGTGATGAAGGAAGGAATGAAGTATCAGACTCATCTAGGGAATAAAACTTAAAATGCTCAAAAAACATCACTGTGACAGCAATACGGACATGACGAAGGATAGAGTCGTAGCAAATATATCCCTTATATATGTCACTATACCCTAGAAAAGCACACCGAGCTGTTTTAGTAGTAAGTTTAGTTCGTTCCTTCCGCGACATAAGAACAAAGCACAAACACCCAAAAACCCGAAGACGAGAGTAATCCGGATGACACGGTTATATAAGGGAAAAAATGCGCTAAACTGGTTAAGGACTGGAGTGATCTGATAATTAATGATACGAACAACCTTAGACACGGCTTCAGGCCAAAACCGGGACGAAACATGGGACTCGAGAAGAAGGGCACAAATCATATCGAGGACGTGTCTATTTTTCCGTTCCAAGAGCCCATTTTATTGGGAAATACCATGACAAGACTTCTGACAGAGGGTATCTAATGATCGATATAGTGCAAGCAAAGGTCCGGAGCTAAACTCCCCACCCGGATCAGACCGAAGGATCTTAACTGGCCGACTAAACTAAGTTTGAATTATCTTCAAAAACTCCTCAGCTATGGCTCGCAAATTAGATTTCAACCGTAAAAAATAGACTCATCTAAACCGGGTGGCATGATCAATGAACAAAGCAAAGTAGTGAAAACCATGACGGGAGTGGGAAGGGGAAGGCCCCCAAAGTTCAGTATGCACAATATGAAAGGGCTCAGTAATCATAGTAGTGCTCGAAGGAAATAAAACACTAATGGTTTTCGCCTCAACAAAACTAGTGCAATTATGTTTGGACAGAATAGCAACCTCATGTTTTCCCAACAATGACTGACGAAACATGTGCAAAAGACAGGCAGAATTAGGGTTCCCAAGGCGCGAATGCCATAAATCCCATACATTGTTTGACTTATTCAAAGACACCGAACTAGAATTAGGACACGAAATAGAGGAAAGAGCAGACGGACTACTGACGGTAGTGTAATGCGCGGAACAGGGCAAGGGTAATGATGATGAATGATCAAGCTCCTCTAGATGAAACAACCGCCCCTGTTTACTACCCTTCCGATCTGCCTCCCCGTCGTCAAGTCCTGCACAACACATCCAGATGGTGCAAACGTAATCGAACAACCACCGTCAGTAAGTTGACCTACCGAAACTAAATTAGGGACAAGCTGTGGGACATTTAACATATTCGGTAAATTCAATTTAGGTTGTTGAACACAACCTACACCCTTAACCTCCAAGCGATCACCATTTGCCACACGTAAAGCCATAGACCGAACAAGTTTAATATTCTTAATAGAAGCAGAATTATTAGTCATATGGTTAAAACATGCCAAAATCGAGGAGCCCAGGGCGCCGAACTTTTACATGTCACATGAAGGGTCGCAAATGCGGAGCTAATGGCATTCGGGAGAGACTTCTGTAACGCGGCATTAACCATCTTTTAATACGACCCTGGGGGGTCTATGTTATCAAAGTAATGCAGCAAAGGACTCAATCGAAAGACCGATTGAGCTCGAATCACTAACGAAGTGTTCTTAGTACGAACTTGGATAAAACGGAACCAAAAGGACGATTCCACACCTGGGGAACGCTAGATTGGTATAAAAGGTAGATGCCTGACCACGTTGTGGAAGCCTTTTGACCTGAATCCCATCCATGCTACTTGAATTGAGCTCCAAAGTAGGCTTCACAAAACAGTTTTCTACCTTAGCCATTTTCTGGCAGTTTTCCAGTTTTGAGGTAGCAACTTTGAGGCCTTGGAAAACAACCTTAATGACATCATCTGGATCCACAAAGCATACCATTGGAAAGATGGTAACTTTATCTGCAAAAAAAAAACCCCCCTTAAAATTGAATTTCCACCAAGCCAATTGAGAGAACCATGCCTCCAAAGTATGTACCCTGAACACGGATTTTGACTTAGCCAAATTCTGCCCTTCTTCTTCCCAACTTCGATAGCTTCTTTGTCAAGTAATTGTGACGTGAATGGTTGGAAATTTCGGATCATATCAGCTTCTCAATTGCAGCCGCTGAAACTGCAGCAGTGAAACCTTCTGTGGGCTGCGTGGCATAGGCAGCACTCCGGAGTTGTACGATCAGAGAGACCCATGTCCCGGGGCTTGCCATGATGCTTCACAAATAAGCGCCAATCCAAAATTATGTGCCCACTCTTCTTACAATAAACACAAAGGTTACGAGGATGAAAATACTTCTGAAGATGCCCCTTCTCGCGGCAGTGATGGCATTGCATCTCAGACATAAGGATGCGGCACTGAAATTGAGGTTTGCCCACCGTGAACGCCGATTCTGCACCAACTGCGGCCGCAAGGGCCGACTCTGCATTAACTGGCCGAAGGTCGAGCTAGGCCTAGGTACGTAAGCGTGTCTCCTCGTGTACCAGGTCTCCAAGAATACCATCCATAGTAAGCGTCCCGCAATGGATGATGCTGGATCAGATCACCTCAAATTCAGGGCGGAGGCGCATCAAAAAATGGAGGAGACGAGCATGCTCACGTTCAGCAATCACAATTGCAGAGGTAGCAGCGGGGGCGGAGAGTAGTCGTAAGCATATCTTCTTCGGTCCACAACTCTTGAGCCTCGGTCAAATAAGTGGTGATATCTTTATCACCTTGCTCCAATTTATCCAGCGCAAGCTGCACCTCAAATTGCCGAGCAGCACTAGTAGTTGAATATGTGGCAGCCAGCTTCTTCCACATACTATTAGCAGTATGATGCATTCGTAAACTCAAACAGATGGTGGAATCCACAGAGCCCAATATCCAGGATCTTACTCGGGCGTCGTGGAAAACCCAGCAGTTAATCTGCTCATCAGTCGCAGGCGGTTGTGGCCGCGACACCGTACCGTCAAGGACCCCGAGGAGACCTTTTCCTTCCACAAACACACGAAACTGAAACTCCCACAACATATAATTCTTCAGATTGAGGCAAATTGACAACTTCTACGAATCCATTATCGAGTGCTCTGATACCATGTTAGAAACGTAAATCGGGATTCAAACGCACGGGAGTCGAACTCTCCAAGCTGAAAATCATACTTAGTGATCTGAGGTTCTCGGTGAAGTACATAAACAATATATATACCCTATACAAACCCTAGCATACACACGTCTACACTGCATGGGTTCCCATGGGCTTGGGCCAATCACACAACAAATACATCAATACGTATTGGCCCATCAACAAAGACACCTGGCCGCTAACAGAATCGACACAATGGGGAATTAAAACAATCCGGCTCATTTTCCAACATCCCCATTTACACATCCATCGCATTAGCTGGAAGCCTTTTGATTCAATGGTCTTGTTGCAGTTCAACCTCAGCTGGGACAAATGCAAGCTACCTGTGTCTTGTTGTTGAAGAAATGAGGCCTGCAATTGAAGAAATGAAGAATGCAGGGGAGTTGAGGACCAGGACAACCTGGAAGTGCTGATCTGTGATGTGTGAAGTAGAGATCAAGAGGCTTGGTGCTGAATTTAGACCAGGTCACTCCTTTTGGGACCACAACTGAGGGTATTAGTGCCAATTCCCCTGCTGGAATTGGTAGGAGACAAGGAAAGCGACTGCTGTACTTGCTCCAGCTTTTGTTTTGTTGGTTTATGCATGTTGTTTCCTAGTAAAATCTGTCTAGGGTTTGATGTCCAGCCTATAAAAGGCTTGTTATGTTTTCAGTTGATGTAATGTGAGTGAAATGACTTTGAAATGCAATGGAAATGAGATCTGAAGCTTAAAAAGCTCAGATATTGTCCAAGCAGCTCTGGTTTTTTTGGTTACTGTTACATTGGTTTCTTAGTTGTGAAGTTAGTTTTTCTTATCATATTCTACACTTGGTATCAGAGCTCTTGATGATCTTTGTTGAGGGCTTGTGAGGTTTTCTTAGAGTGAATCTGTGAGGTTTTAAGAGGGTTGTGTGTTCTCTTCTTCTTCTTGATCTCTGCCAGTTTAGAAACACATACAAAGATGGCTTCTTCTGGTCTTACTCTCACCACTCCCCCTGTCTTCAATGGGAACAACTACCAGATGTGGGTTGTAAAAATGAAGACATTTATGATGGGATGTGACATTTGGGAGCCTGTTACAGGAAGAATAGTAAATCCACTCCCTAGATATGCATCACTCAATCAACAAGCAAGGCATGCTGAAGAGGTTGCAAAGACTCACAGAGCACTTGCCTGTATTTTTGTTGCTGTAACAGAAGAGGTCTTCTCAAGGATTATGACCTGCACCACTGCAAAGCAAGCTTGGGACAAACTTCAAAAGTAGTACCAAGGGTCTGACAGAGGTAAGCAGATGACTGTTCTTAACTTGAGAAGAGAATTTGAAAGTTTCAAGATGAAAGAAACTGAATCTGTTAAGGAGTACTTAGACAGGATTATGAAAAATGTGAATCAAATGAGACTGCTTAGTGATGAGTTTAGTGACTCTAGAGTAGTTGAAAAGATTCTGTTCACTGTACTAGAGAATTTTGAGTCCAAAATCTCAACCTTGGAAGAAACAACAGATCTTACCACTATCACCATAACTCAACTTATCAACTCACTACAAGCTACTGAGTTCAGAAGCTCTATCAGAAATGAGGACCAATCTAAGGAAGCTCTAGTTGCTAAACAGCAGAAGGGTAAAGGACAAGGTTCTGGAACAAAGAAGGTCATACCTAAGAAGCAAAAGGGGAAGGAGGAGCAGACTGAGAAGCCTACTGAGAAGAAGGTCTTTCCTCCTTGTCCACATTGTAAGAAAACTACTCATTCTGAGAAGTTATGCTGGTATAGACCTAATGTTCAGTGCAGGGCTTGTAAGAGAATGGGTCATGTTGAGAAGGTGTGTAAGAACAAGAGTATTAGAGAGCAAGCTGCTATTGCTGAGGCCAATGAACAGAACAAGAAAGCTGAAGGAATGTTCATGGTCACTTGCTACTTAGCAAACAGCAACAGTGAAGACTGGCTTCTAGACACTGGATGTACAAATCATATGACACATAGTGAGGAGTACTTTCAGAGTCTTGACAAGTCTTATAAGTCAAGAGTAAAGATTGGAAATGGAGACATGCTTTCTGTTGAAGGAAAAGGCTCAGTTTCTGTGCAAACTGACTTTGGATCAAAGGTAATCTCTGAAGTTCTCTATGTTCCTGCACTAGCTCAGAATATGCTTAGTGTAGGTCAAATGTTAGAGAAGGGATACTCTGTAGAGTTACAGAACAAGAAATGTGTGGTGTTTGATCCCAATGATGACAAATTGTTTGAGATTCTAATGGTTCGAAGAAGCTTTCCCCTGAAAATGAAGGCTGTTAAAACTGCTTGGTGGTTAGAAATGATGAGTCTACGTCTGGCATAGTAGACTAGGTCATTTCAGCCATAAAACTCTAATAAAAAAGGCTAACAAGGAAATGGTGAGTGACTTACCTCATCTGGAGCCAGGAGAAGGAGTTTGCCAAGTCTGTCGACTAGGCAAACAGCACAGATTGCCATTCCCTAAGAAACATACTTGGAGAGCTCCTACAAAGCTTGGTCTGATTCATACAGACATATGTGGACCCTTTAAGGTGGAATCATGGGGAGGAAGCAAGTATTTTATACTTTTCATTGATGACTTAACCAGATTCTGCTGGGTTTATTTCTTGAAGAACAAGTCTGAAGCATTACCAGTATTTCAGAGGTTTAAGGCTTTTGTTGAGAAGCAAAGTGATTGGAAAATCAAGACCCTGAGATCTGATAATGGAAAGGAATACACCTCTCAAAGCTTTGAAAAGCTTCTAGCTTTTGAGGGTGTACTTCATCAGCTTATAGTGAGATATACTCCACAGCGAAATGGAGTAAGTGAAAGGAAGAATAGAACTGTTATGGAAATGGCAAGGTGTCTTCTCTTTGAGAAGAAAATGCCTAAGAAATTCTGGGCTGAGGCGGTAAATACCTCAGTCTACCTGCTTAATCGACTGACTACAAGGTCAGTGAATGACAAAACACCATTTGAGGCCTAGCATGTTCACAAACCTAGTTTGCACCATCTCAGGATCTTTGGCTCAGTGTGTTTTGCACATGTTCCAGCTCCAAAAAGAGACAAGATGGATCAAAGATCAGAACTGGGAATCCTGGTGGGCTATAGTACTGAATCTAAAGCCTACAGGATTTTCAATCCAACTACTGAGAAATTCCAGTTGAGTAGGGATATTGTCTTTGATGAACATGCAAGTCATAACTGGTCCTTGAATGGAGGTGAAAATGAAGACAATTATGATCTGGTCACTCTTCAATTTCAAGGCCATACTGACTTTGATGAAGAACCAGAACCACAGGTTGATCAAGAAGCATAAATTCAAGAGCCTGATCAAGCTGATGATCTGGAATCTGACAATGAAGATCAAAGTGATGATGAAGACTATGAGTCTGATGAAGAACCTCATGTGAGAGGGCTGAGACCACTTGCAGACATCTATGAAAGGTGCAATGTGAGCATTGAAGAACCTGATACTGTATAGGAAGCTCTAAGACACAATGGATGGAATGCTGCAATGAAGGAGGAGATCAAAATGAATGTGAAAAATGAAACTTGGATACTGGTTAAAAGACCAGTTGGAAAGAAATCAATAGGGACAAATTGGGTTTCAGAGTCAAGTTGAATCCTGATGGCTCTATAAACAAGCTGAAAGCCAGGTCAGTTGTGAAGGGCTATGCTCAACAATGGGGAACTGACTATGGAGAAACTTTTGCTCCAGTAGCAAGGTTAGATAAAATCAGATTGATGTTGGCTATAGCTGCTCAAAAGAAATGGAAAGTGCATCAGCTAGATGTCAAGTCTGCCTTTCTAAATGGTTATCTTCAGGAGATATATGTTGCACAGCCTGAAGGTTTTGAAGTTCCCGGTGAAGAGGACTCTGTTTATCTGTTAAAGAAGGCCTTTTATGGCCTAAAGCAAGCTCCAAGAGCTTGGTATTCCATAATTGATGAGCATCTCTTGCAGCTTGGATTTGCTAAAAGTCCTAGTGAACCAACACTGTATGTAAGGAACAACAGTGAAGGAACTGTAATGGTTTCATTGTATGTTGATGACTTGCTTGTTACAGGAAGTGATGAGAAGCATATAGAAAAGTTCAAGATCAGCATGCTTAAGGAGTTTGAAATGACAGATCTTGGACTCATGTCTTATTTTCTTGGCATTCAAATTGCTCAAACTGAGAAGGGCACTTTTATAAATTAAACAAAGTATGCCAAAGAAATACGGAAGAAGTTTGAGATGGAGAATGTCAAGCCTGCTCCAACACCACTTCATGTACAAATTCACTCACAAAAGAGGATGGTTCAGGACTGTTTAAAGCCAAGGTTTATAGAAGTTTAATTGGCTGTTTGTTGTATCTGTCTGCAACCAGACCAGATATTATGTTTGACTCTGGTTTGTTAGCCAGATTCATGCAAGCTCCAACTCAGACTCACTACAAGACTGCCAAAAGACTGCTGAGGTTCATCAAGGGTACCATTGATATGGATTGATGTTTAAAAGTGGAAAGGAAGTGTGCTTGGAAGGTTACTGCGACAGTGACTGGTCTGGATCTTCTGAGGGCATGAAAAGCACCTCTGGTTTCACTTTTACACTAGGATCAGATGTCTTTTGCTGGAGTTCAAAGAAGCAAAGCATTGTAGCTCAGTCAACAGCTGAAGCTGAGTACATTGCTGGCTCTGAAGCAGTGAATCATGCAGTTTGGTTAAGAAAAATTATGGAAGATTTGAGTGTCAAGCAAATGCAACCAACTGTCATTAACAGTGACAATCAGTCTGCACTTGCAATGGCCAAGAACCCTGTGTTCTATGGCAGAACCAAGCATATCAAGATCAAGTACCATGTTTTGAGGGAAGCAGAAGCTGAGGGATTGGTTTCATTGGTTCACTGCTCAACTCAAGTCCAGTTTGCAGACATCTTTACCAAGTCACTGCCCAAGACCAGATTTGAAGAACTAAAGAAGATGATTGGAATGGTCAGTGGCATTGGCAAGGAGGAGTGTTACAGTTCAACCTCAGCTGGGAAAAATGCAAGCTACCTTTGTCTTGTTGCTGAAGAAATGAGGCTTGCAATTGAAGAAATGAAGAATGCAGGGGAGGTGAGGAGCAGGACTACCTGGAAGTGCTGATCTGTGATGTGTGAAGTAGAGATCAAGAGGCCTGGTGCTGAATTGAGGCCAGGTCACTTCTTTGGGGACCACAGCTAAGGGTATTAGTGCCAATGCCCCTGGTGGAATTGGTAGGAGACAAGGAAAGCGACTGCTGTACTTGCTCTAGCTTTTGTTTTGTTGGTTTATGCTTGTTGTTTCCTAGTAAAATCTGTCTAGAGTTTGATGTCCAGCCTATAAAATGCTTGTTATGTTTTCAGTTGATGTAATATGAGTGAAATGACTATGAAATGCAATGAAAATGAGATCTGAAGCTTAAAAAGCTCAGATATTGTCTAAGCAGCTCTGGTTTTTTTGTTACTGTTACATTGGTTTCCTGGTTGTGAAGTTAGTTTTTCTTATCATATTCTACAGGTCTCACTCTGCACCGCTTAGAACTTGGTTTCCACGATTGCAACAGGGACAACCCAAACTTAGGAGGCGGACGCAGAGGTAAATGTGACTCTTCTTCTTGGATTGGGGATGTTTGCTACCTCGCCGGCGACACTGTTCGATGAAGACAGGCGTCCACGAACACATCGGATTCCTTCGACACTGTTTTACATCATAAATGTAGCCAGGAGGAAAAATATACACGGAGGAGGTGGGTCAATGAAGGACAGCTCGTCGAAATTAATTTTTGAGACCGCCGGAGAGGGACACTTGGGAAGTTGATATTTGTTTGGTCGATCCCTGATTTTCTGTGTTCATATTCTGATGGGAGTTCTCCGTTAGTTTGGAAGAGTCCGGCTGAACCACTATAATGGGCCACTAAATTCGGACCAATGCTCATTAAACCAACCCAGCTCGCCACATCAGTTTCACGTGGACGAATCAGAGACAGTCACCGGTGCCTCACTTTTTACAACGACACCATAGTGTTGGCCAAACTATATATAGCACAACTTTGTTTGCCTAATAGTCCAGTGGGACGGGCAACTTACACGGAGGTGGACCAGTCCAATTTCTTGGGATCCTATTAATATTGCACCAAAGAAGATCCAACTTAAGCAGAAACATCTCGGCCCAAACAGGCCCACTTGTCACACGTACCAGAAACTAAAAAAAATATCGTAAATACTAGTTTTGAAAATAAGTAAATTGCGAAAGTAAAGAACACAAAATTTACGTGGTATCACTGTTCGATGTGAACAGGACTAATCCACAGGAGCAAGCTCCTGCGGAAGTTCTCATTAAGCAGTAATAAATAGGGCTGTACGGTCAAAGATGCCAAACCACTTGGCTAGAACACATATATATACCCTTCGACTAACACCTAGGGCAGCTCTAGCTCACGTGGTAAATTACAAACCAATACTGCAATTAATTAAACATAATAATTAATCACTCATCTCAATAAGTTTCCAATTTTTTTGGTAGAATCACTTAATTTTTTTGATACAAATCACTTAAATTTTTTCAAATGAGCAAAGCCACTGGTGGAGGGAAGGCATGAAAGAGGGGTCCTGGAACCCCACTTGGCAAATTTTTGGGAGAATAATTCATTAGATAAATAGGTTTTGGTATGATTCTACAGATATAGGACCCCATACTTTCGTTGATACATGCGATAACAAGAACCCCAATCAACTCAAAACTTATTAGATATATAGATTATGGGACCGGTTACTATAACAACACTCATTGTGTTGTTATTGTAACAACACTAGTCCCCAACCAATAGGAAGCTAGGGATGTGATGACTTTTTATTAGTTAAGTTGATTTAGTATAAAATCAAAACAGGGGTATAATTGTCATTATGAAAAATATGTTTAAATAATAAAAAATAAAAAAATATGTTTTTATTTTCTGCCCTAAAATTTGGTCGCCGGAATTCTGCCACCAGTCGCCGGAAAATGGTCGTCGGTCACCGGAATATGCTTTTTGTCGCCGGAATATACTATTTTGTGCCCGGAATATGCTTACCGGCATCGGAATATGCTTACCGGCGTCGGAATCTAGTCACCGGGGCCGGAATATGCCTATCGGCGTCGGAATCTGCTCACTGACGGTCACCGGAGTTCGGTCAACGGTCTTCGTTGACCGGTCAACGACCACCGGATGTATGGTCTACATTGTGAGATTTATGGTTTGGTTTCTCATATTTTCGTATGCCTTTTGTGGTTTGCTTTATCGTGTTTGTGGTTTGCATTAAGAAGTTTCTGGTTTGCTTTATCGTGTTTGTGGTTTGCATTGAGAAGTTTCTGGTTTGCTTTCAAAAATTTTGTGGTTTGCTTTGCGGGGTTTCTGGTTTGTTTTAATAGATTTTTGGTCTGCATTAGGACGTTTCTGGTTTGTTTTTGTGATTTGCTTTATCGTGTTTGTGGTTTGCATTATAAGGTTTCTGGTGTGTTTTTTAAAATTCTGTGGTTTGCTTTGCGGGATTTCTGGTTTGTTTTAGTAGATTTTTGGTCTGCATTAGGACGTTTCTGGTTTGTTTTTTTGGTTTGCTTTAACATGTTTGTGGTTTGCATTATGAGGTTTCTAGTGTGTTTTTTAAAATTTTGTGGTTTGTTTTGTGAGGTCTCTGGTTTGTTTTAATAGATTTTTTGTTTGCATTAGGATGTTTCTGGTTTGTTTTTGTGGTTTGCTTCAAGAGTCCGACCACTACACATCTCTCCTATGGAGAAAGGGTTCTGCATCATGTTTTTGTGGCTTGCTGAATAATGTGAACAGCTTCACCATCATTTTGCCCGTCTCCACCTCAGCAAACTCCGATTCTACTTTCCCCACTTCCTACACGAGATTTCTTAGATAATTGAATTGAATCGAAATAAAAACACATCTGCTTTAATTTGCTAATCAAGAATGAATCAAACAATAAGTTCGATAGTCTGATTCAAAACTGTACCGCAGAACGCACCTGAAACCTACAGAAGTAGAATTCATCGCCGTAGACAGCTCGAAAGGCGTCGACGAGGTTAAGCGCAGCGGACTGGCGAGTTGGCGGGACGCTGAGGTTGACCACGGCGGTGACCCGATCGGGTCGGAACCTGCGAAAGTACCAGGCCATGGCGGCTCCCCAATCGTGCCCGACCAAGAAGACCTTGTCGATCTTGAGGGCGTCGAGGAGGCCGACGAGGTCGCCGACGATGTGGAAGGCGGTGTACTTGGCCGGAGATGAGGGTGCGCCGGAACATAGAAGGAATAGAGGATTTGCGACGCCGACGGTGGAAGAAAGAAGGAACCGCGGGAGATGGGGAGGAACATAAGAAATTGAATACGAGGAGCGGACTAGATAGGGTTTGGAAATTGAATACGAGGAGAAGAGTTGTGGCCGCTCCGGTGGACTTCATGGGTGACGGTAGAGAGCTATGCCGAGTACTGCTCCGTACGTACTGATTAGTAGCGACGACGGCGGTGATTGTGGAGGTGGGAAAGAGACGATGATTGAGAACGCCGGCCGGATCTAAAATCTGGAGAAACAGGGAGAAGAAAACGTCGGCTGAAAGCGGTAGAGGGAGGTGGAATTTTATATTTATATTTATTTTTGTGTAACTTTACTCTTTTACCCTTAATGAATTATGATGTTACTATAACAACACTAATAGTGTTGTTATACTATCTACACCCATAGATTATAGTGTTGCTAATTTCTTAAGGACCTCAATCAGTTTAAAGTCTGGCTACACCCCAGAGCAAAGCAACACATTTTGACAACAGGCGCTTTTCACTTTCGAACTTTCAATCATATTGAAGGAAGAAAACGATGCAACTCTCTTCTATCCATCTGCGTTTCGTCTTCCTCATCGCAGCTCTACTCAACCATCTCATCTCATCTTTTATGGAGACAAAGTAGTAGTGACAGAAGGAGAAGAAGAAGAAGAAAGATCTATACTCTGTTCTCCGCAGCTTTTATGGAGACGACCACGTCGGTGACGATGACGAGGACATCGACAGAGAAATAGAAAAATGACGGGGATTGCTATAGGGAAGCTTCACATTCGACTACACAAAAGCCGTCGGCGATAAGACTCCAGCGCTGGTTTAGCTTTTCTCCCTTTCAATTTAGGAAAGAGGTTCCTCTTCAATTCGCTGACTTGCGACTCCGATATTATCGTCTTCTACGCCACCGTGCGTGAATTACGACTGGGTTCTCTCCAGATGTCCCTTCTGCCGCCGCCTCTGCTACCGATTTGATGAAGGCTCTGACCTAGACAACATCTTTATCCACAAAGGAACACCATTTCCACCCTCTAGATCTCAATCGCCGCCTCCATCTCATCTTCCGCCTCCTATACTGGCCGCATGTCATCCATGTATACATAAATCAATGCTCTTATTGTCTATTGGTCGGCTCCGGTTCCGGCGATGGGATGGTGTAATAGTGGGAGTGAGGCTTCCACACTTACGGGTCCTTACCAGCTGCAACGTGGCAGTTTGCATGGCATATTTTGGGTTTGTGGTTATCTTAGTCTTACACAGTAAGCGGTGGGTTTGTTTGTTGTTTTCTTATTGGTGGACAAGAGCGACCGCTCCATACTTCTCAATGGTGTTCTTATATTTATCCCCGAGAATATGCTTGTTTTATCCAGGTCCCAACCACCTTTATTATAGTCGGTTAGGGCGTTTACAGTGTCATTTGATGGGGAACCCGAAGGGAGGGGGTGGGCATGGAAAAAACTCTTGCCAGGGATTAAAGCATCGTCCCAAATCGAAATTTGCTTCCCATTCCCGACTCTCCATTTGAACCCATCAACAATCTGGTCCTTTGCCTCCATGATACTTCTCCAAATAAAAGTTGGTCTATATCCCAGTTTAGCATTTAGGATGTCCGACTTAGGGAAATATTGCGCATTCAACACTCTCGCCGTCAAGGACTGAGGTCTGGTTATGACACTCCAAACTTGCTTTCCAAGCATAACAAGGTTAAAAACTTTCACGTCTCTAAAACTCAAACCGCCTTCTTCTTTCCCATCACAGAGCTCCTCCCAATCTAGCCAATGCAATTTTGTTTCTTTTCCTTTTTGCCCCCACCAAAAACTGGAAATCATAGACTGAATTTCGTTAAGGGTGCCATCTGGGATTCGAAAGACCGACATTGGATACAAAAGTTGAGCTTGGGTTTTGGTTAAATCTCCCTATTCGGTTAAAAATTGTTCTCAAGCATAGCCAGGTTCTGGTTCCTAAGATCCCTCTGAGGTTTCCCCCTTGTGAAGATGTGAGAGTGTGGAGGGACAATGAGGATGGTATCTATTCGGTTAAATCTTCCTACTTGAGAAATCGTGGACACCAACTCAACACTATGGCCCGAATTCATGATCTTCCTGATGATGTTGCTGAGTTCTGGAAATCTCTATGGAAAATTGATATTCAACCTAAAGTCTGAATCTTCCTTTGGAAAGCAAGTAGAGATATTTTTCCTGTGGGTTCTAATGTTGAAGACTGGATTGAGAATGCTTGCCCTGACTGCCCATTTTGTGGCCTCCCAGAATCCCAGATGCACGCTTTGAGGGAATGTGATTGGATCCGTCGCAGATGGAAATCATGTGAAGAAAAGGATGTCTTTGAGTTAGAAGAAGGAAGATCATGCATCGATTGGCTGAAAACTATTCTCAAAACTTGTTCAAAAGAGAAAATTCAAAGGTTCAATGCCATTATTTGGTGTCTGTGGAAAGAGCGATGTAACCACAAGCATAACAATAGAAAGATGGAGGAAGAGCAGGTCATCTCCAGGGCAATTGCTTGGCTCCGTTCCTATCTGGATGCCCAGGACAACGCGCATTCAGGGCCTTCTGCATGTCCCCCTACCACCGCGAGGATACAAATCAGAAGGTGGATCCCTCCTTCTGAGGGAATTTTCAAAATGAATACGGATGTGGGTGTCTCCTCCAACTCTGGAATTGACCTGGGCTGCATCATGAGGGATTGGAAGGGTGATTTTTGTGGTGCGATGGCAAGAAAGGAAAGAGGGGTATGCAGGCCTATTGAAGCTGAAGCTAAGGCGATTTTGATGGGGTTGAAGGAAGCAAATAGAAGGCAATTGAGCCCTGTTATTGTCGAGTCGGACTGTCAACTTTTGCTGGAAAATTGAAGAACAAGGTGGCTAACCGAATGAAGTTGGGATGGTGGTGCGATGAGATTGGGAAGTTGGCGTCGGAGAACGAAGCTCTCTCTGGTGTTCCGATTGTGTGGAATTTTGACCCAGGGATTTGTAATGGGCCTGCCCACTAGCTAGCCAACGCTAGTTTACGTGGACTCCGTGTTATTTGTTTGTTTTACTGGGAACTTTTGGTTGGTTGCTGTTTTGGCACCCGTGGCTTTATTTGCAGTGTGCCAGTGTCTACTAGTCCAGCTTTGGGATCTCGAGGCAATGTGGAGATGAAGACACTTGGACTTTATATATAGTTTGATGGAAGGTCAACGGGGGTGGTCTGAATCCGTATTTTTAATGATTTCATTTCTATTGTGTTTTTTTCTCCATATATATTTTGTTGTTAGACTTGCAGGGGTTTGCTACATTGTGGTCTTCTGAGAGTCACAGGGGCTTGGTCTTTGACTTCCGCCTCGCAAAGGGTGGAAACTTTTGTTTAAGGACTCGCCCTTTGCTGAATAGGTATTAAAGAGTTGCCCATATTGTAGCAAGAATGCTCTCTTATCGTTGATCGGTTTTAGTCGACTGGCATCCCTTCTTTTTCATTTTAACCTGAAAAGACTTTATTTGTAACACCCCAAATTTTGGGTTCAGGTTCGACCAGAATACGTGAACGGTTGGGTTAGCGGTTACGTACGAAGGATTACGATCGCGGGCTAGGAATAATAATAATAATAACATAATTGTTATTATTACTATTATTATTATTATTTAAAAAAAATTAAAGGATGGGACGGGAGGGCCGAGCGGCCACAGTCCCAAACCCCTCCCTCGTTATTTTGTTTCCACCAGCGGCAGGCAGGAGAGGAGAACCGCCGCCTCATTGATTTCCCAAAAACCCTCGCCATCCCTTTCTTCTCCCCAATAGCTCTCGGCCAAAGAAGCCCTTGGAAGCCTCCACCAATCGTGCTCCTTTATGACGCCAAGCCACCCGCCATTCTTTCCTCCATCACCATCAACGTCCCATTCAATTCCGCCTCTCCATAGAAGGAGCACTACCGTAACCTAGCCCAACCCTTTTGTCAAACATAATGCCACCGCTAGCGTACTACGGGCCGGGACGATTATGTATCCGGATTGTGGCCGAGCAATTTTGCAACAATCAAGTGAAGGGAAATTGATCCCTAATTAAATACATTCAGCTTCAATGAAAAGAGGTGAGTGTAAATGGGGTAAATTCTACGGCTTACGTATTCTTTTAAGTATTATGATTTTAAGTATTTTAGCGAATTGATTACCGTTGCTTGGTTATGGGTATGATTGATTATTTGTGCTTTGCTTGAGTTATGGTTTGAGGTGATTTTGTTTGAGCTATGCTTGAAGTGAATGTTTATTAATTACTTTGAATTTTTTTCGAGTATAAGTTATTATTAAAAAGTAAGAAACAAGTTCTTTTAAAGAAGTAACTCACCTTAAAGAAGGTGAAGTCGTTTTAAGTGTTTTTAGTCACTAGCGCCAGTCCGTTGCCATTTGAGATTTTCAGATAGAGCAACAGTTATGCTCTTGAGATCTTTGAGACACAGCAGCAGTTATGCTCTTGAGACTTTTAAGATGAGCAGCAGTTATGCTCTTGAGAATCGTGGTGAAGAGCCACCACGATAAGTTTAAGATGTTAGGGGGATGAATCGTTACGACTTCCCTAACTAAGTTTAAGTTTAAGGAAAGCCTGGATGGCTTCTCATACGTATGAGTTGGCAACCGGACTAGCTAGTGAGGGATCCCTGTGTCAGTCAAGTATTTAAGTCAATATTTGAGCTTTAAGAGAGGAGAGTAACTTCAACTCCCTCAAAGTTTAAGAGTTAAGATTTTTAAGATTGGAAATACAAACAACTTCCACTAGTCAAAGTTAAGTGTTTTAAGTAAGTGCTAAGCAGTAAGAATCTAAAACGTAAGGGCGTAGACTGACCCCATCTCACTCACCAGTTTGAAGAGCTAGAGGAAGAACTTAGAGTAGCAGTTAGAGAGCAGCGGGATCGAGAGGAACAGTTCGAGTGAAGCTAGCTAGAGGAGGACGGTACGAGCGTCACAGAGGATGTCTAGTCAGAGTTTTTCACACAAGCAGCAACACCTGAGGCTAGTTAGTTATTATGTTCTATGATTATGAGTATAGACTGGAGATCAAGTTGAGTTTTTAAAGTTTGAGTTTAATTTGCCCACATATTAGGGCTTTGCTTTGAACTACAAGTGTGTGTTTTCAGTATTTTATTTATGAAAAATTTTCCCAGTTGCAATTCAAGACTTGAGTATTTTATTCTATCAGGGGCATTTTAGTAAAAGTAGTACCCGGCTGGGTTAGGGTGTTACATTATTTTTGTACACTATATCAGTTGTTTCCCATTTTTGGGATATCTATGGCAAAAAATAAAGAGAGGAAGAAAACGACGCGATCGAGATGGTTTTTACTTTACAACACCTTAATAAAGCAAAAGTAAAAAACTTTGACATGTCACAGCCTATTTCCTATTTCGTAACACCAAGGACTGTCAAGTAGCTAATGACATTCATAATTACCATTTATTACCCTAAGTTCTTAAAAGTTTCACTAAAAAGAATTAAGAAAACACGTCCAAGCAGCTTACCTCGACGATGGTGTTCAAAAATTGTTGATGCCAAGTTTGGAGGAGCCTGCTTCAATATGTTTGAAGTTCGGTGGGCGCTAACTTCTCGACTACCGTCTGCTACCAGCCTTCGAGATGAACACCTGCAAAAAAAGATCCCGTCTGTGGTGGTCGGCGGGTACCTGCTCCAAAGCTAAAGTCAGTATTGAGAGGAGAGTAAGTGAGTTCTCTGGATTTGAGACCAGCTATTTAGAGAGATTCAGAGTTTTATCTGAAATGAACTGCCGAGAAAGCATAAATGAGTTTCACATTTATATTGTAGGCGCGTTCTGCTCCTATCATGGGTGGTGTGTACGTGACAAAATAACAAAAATATATTTACCTCTCATCCTTCAGTGCAATGGATAGTATAAGAACTAAAATTAGAAAGAAAAGAAAATCACTTGTCTTTCTCTTTTCCCTTCCGTCTGTATCAAGTGGAGTAAAAAGAGATGTGGGTAGGTTGTGGTAAAAAAGAAAGTGAACTTTCTTAATTTATTTAAGCAATGAAATAAGAGAAATAAAACCAATATGACCATCTCATCTTCCTCGTATAGATGGAGAGGATAGGTAAAGTGGTTTGTTTTTGTGGGATTGATGACACCTCCACCAAGAGAGGTTAATTGTTGGAGGAAAGAACAAGCCTTACTTGCTTGGCTTCTCCCACGTGTAAGTGAATGTGAAGATGAGTATGATTGCTTGAGATGGGTGAGGGAATAAACACATGCATCCTTAAACCAACTCATAGATCATTAGATCATTGCCATGCGTCATAAAAAAGAAGGGTTGTCAATTGTGTGTTTTTGAAGGGTTAAATTTCCACCCATCCATGTAAATAACATAGCCAACCAGCTTCACTAGTGTGGACCTCCGGCCCGTGAAATCGGCCATGAATCCAGGACAATTGTAGGAAACACCTCTGGACCGTACATCCATGGAATCACTCCCAAGAGACTTGTAGGAGACACCTCCACCCCAATGAAGAACACGAAGTAGAGCGAGAAAGAGATTGAGCGACTCATAATCTGAGCACAAAAATCAGGTAACATCATGCCACCAAGGCATGTCATGGAAAACCCCATGGCTAGCTCCAATGCTCACAAGCAGCAGAATCCTACGACGTCCCAAGACATTGCCTGTGAACACTGGAACCAACGCTCCAAATCAACTTGATGAACAGTAACAAGAAGGTGCCTACTCGAGGCCATTCATTTAGATAAACATATATATAATATAATATTACAATTCATTCTTTCGTTTTCAAATATAAATTTATTTGACATAATAACACGTGACATGCAAATTTATAAATAACTAAATCAATTTGTAAATTATTTTTGCACGATTTTATATATTTTTCCGTTTCATTGTAATACAACTAAGAGTTTAAATTGTTCGAGACCAATCATTTTATCAAAATTATGATGATTAGAAAAGTAAATAACATGCATGAAGAAAAATTATATAAAATATAACAAGTGTATGTTATATAACTAATAACACATATATGATAAATCGACCCAACACTGATTCAACTTATGACCCTCAAGCTGCGATCCATCAACCCATGTGAAGACCAACCCTGCAATCTGATCAACATAGAACCCCACAGTACTTAAAATACTCTGGTTATTTTACTTTTCGTTGACAAGAAATGTTTCCGCATGTGGTTATGCAATTAGAAAAGGATTATTCTAGAAACTAGAAATAGTGAGAGTGTCATTTTTGGCACTGTTGGTAAATTATGTACCTATAGTTTGCTAAATTCTAAATGTACAAACAATGTTTGGCGAGCGGTGAATCCATATTTATCATGATATTGATATCTATACCTATTTCAATCTTACGTAAGTCCCATCAGAGTGATCTCTACATATATTGTCTGCATGGCCAAAGTATTATATATGGGAAGCAGGTGCTTTGATGGGTTGTTCGATGTCAAATACATGAGGTTGTAATACATAGCTATCATTGGCGACACTATTAACACCTTAAGAGTTACGTCGTGTTTTTCACCGATGACATCGTCACGTCTCCAATCGGATGTGGTCTCACGGGAGAAGGAATTGGTATGGGCCTCGTCGTTGGTCCTGCATACATTGTCTAAATTGCACCATTCGGGAGACGTGGCTCTTTAGGATGCTCTATCTCGTCGATTTGTACGTATGTACGTGCACGATGTTTTTTTTTTGTCTAACATGTTGATTTTGAAACTATCTACGAATCAATTTAACAATAATTTTATATAAAAACGTACATATGGATCTTACTTTGGGAGAAAATAGGACCTATTAACGAAATTCATTTTCAATTATAGAAAATATGTTTGTTAATGTAATATTAAAAATAATTTTTCTAATTTATATTAAACTTATCGTTCTA